CCTAATCCTAACCCAACCTCTAACCACTAACTGCTTACTATTATGCTCTCTCTTTTCACCTTGTCTGTACTACTCATGAAGCATTTCCTAATTTAACATGGGCGTCTTCAAAACGTAGTAAATGACTACAGTCCCAAGAGGAAAAAAAGAAATAACAAACTGCGGATTTTGCCAGTTTTGATCGTTCTAAGTATAGGACACCTTCTCTGGCATGAAGAGCTAGTTAGAGACATATTAGAAGCAGAAACAGGAGTTAAGAAAAATAGAGGTAGACCTAGATTAGATTACTGTTAACAAATAGTTAAGGATGTCGGATGTTCTGTGGTAGTTTTAGGGAAATGCGATAGTTACCTGAAGATAGGAAAGAGTTGAGGTGTGTGTCCAATCAGTCTTAGGACTGGCAATCCTACGATGATGTTGCTCTCATGACTAATAAGTAATCATTTGGTATTTAGACTAAACGAAATTTTGAGGGCGAGAGAACGGGACATATTTGGCCTGTTTTTGCGCTCATCATCCATTGTTTTGTCTTCAAATTAAGAGAAAGGGGAAGTACAAGTATTCGTTGGTAGGTTCGTTTTGCACGTTTGTTTCTCAAACAGTTTTTATCGTGTTGTAACGTTATCTACTGATTTTCGTAACGGTTATTGAGTATTATTGGCATAATCGCTGGGTTTATCTTGCAAGAGAGGCCCGCCGCTCGCCCGGCTAATCTATGCAAATATCGCGTCTTTAATCGTGTCGTAGTGGCAATCGAAGACTGCTAAATTCCTCTTGTCTGCCATAATATCGGAAGAACATTAACAGTTTCCAAAGTCACGACGAGTATCACTCGCTCTCACCATTTCGATTCCTTCTGATTTATTATTTAACGTCATCACACCACAGTGCGATGCGATTCCACGTTTTCAATACACACCGTTTCTTCTTCTACTTCTTTCTTCTCTTTTCTTGCAGATGCTTGATGAATATTCATGACCGAGAGCGTAACCAACACATCTCGCCGGTGTGTGTGTATGTCGTTGCATGTCGCTAACACATGCTTATGTTTCGCTAATGGAAACATAGTTTATAGGTTTGGCAGGCCGTTCGTTTCGCATACGTCGGCACCTTATCAGAAAATACCTATATTTGTTTACGTGCTTGTCGTACAAAGTGAACCTACGGAGTACGTACGTACTGCAGCATCGGCACCCGTTTCGTTACACTGCGAGTGAGTAATAACAAACATGTCGGATTGCCTGCTGCTCGCATTTTACATGTTATATTACATGCGCGTACATACGTTGCGAACTTTGCAAGTCTGTGTACACGGAAACACATGTGTAACGTTCGTGGGTTTAACAAAATTAACTTCTAAGACTGATAACGACGAAAACTGTTTATTTACACTAATTATTAAAGAACTTAAAAACACTATTAAATTATTACTAAACTTAGGTTATGAATTATTCTATTTATTTACATTACTGATTCACTTCTGCAACGGTCAATTTATTTCTTCTACTCTCTGCGATCGTCTCTTCCTTTAAATACTCCTTTGTTTCCTTTCTGGAACCCTCTAGAAACATCCGGATAGTTTATTTTATCTTTGAACTGTTTAACTGCTTTCCCAGAACGCAAGTACGACACACACATTTACAAATACGGCGCACATGAAGAAAGGCGCCCTCGGCTAGTCAGCTAATCGATAAGCCGTTCACGCACAGATGTGCCCGATCGCACACAAACACGCTCGTGCTCGCTACACATGATATTAAGCGTTTCGATGAAGGTGTAAAAAAATTAGAGATCCTCGAAAATTGTTAGAAAAATGTGTGCTTATTGTAGCGATGTTATGTATGTCGAAAATGTTCGTCCAACTGGTACTTGATGATCCTTAAATTCCGAATCTACAATGACGAGGATTTACTCATGTCTTTAAGATAAAATTCTGAAGAAAAGTGTGTTGTCGTCAGGTTTACTATGAAACTGTCCTGTGTCACCCAGCGCTAGTTGTGACCTCAGGGCTTAAAGAAATTTTAAAACTACATTGTGCTTCATTTCTACCAGTTGATGCTGGTGAGGACTGTCCGATCGATCTACATTGTAGTGCGAGGTGGTCCGTTGGGCATGCTTCAGTTTTCTGTACAAATCGTCAAGTGGTGGTGACCATTACAGAGGGAAAGATTGGATGAACGGGATGAGCGTAATTACGCAATAGAAAAGTGAAGGAATATTTATGGAATATGATTTAAAAGAAACCTGGAAAAAATGTGGACTAAAACTGGCCACCTGGAATTAAACCGCTGTTCTCTCCGAGTGTCGTCAGTCCTGAGATTAATTGAACACGTTCCTTCACTCTTTTCTACCCTGAGGTAATCTCATTTCCTTAAAACTATCATAGAACAGCAATCTAATCTAGGTATACCTATACTTTTAACTCCTATTACTCTTCATGCCTGAGAAGGTGTCCTACCAACCTCTCAGACATGAATTATTGAATTCCATAGCGTCCTCTGTATTCCTACTCTTCCTACGAATAATATCTCATCATTTCTAACCTTCTCTATCCACATCGTTTATCTGCAATACCACATTTTGAACGCTTCTGTCCCTTTCTTTTTCAGTAGCATGATAGTGACTTCTTTTTGTTAAAAGCGACTCGACCCTGCGCTATCCTCTGTTTCATATCTCTACTGCTCCTTCCATCCTGAGTTATCTGATTTCCTATTAGATACCGAAAATCAACAACTTCTAAGTTTTTGTCTCCTATTACTATTATTATAATATTCACTCTTTCCCTACTTTTTATACATAAAATAAAGAACAAAAATAAAACAACACAGGTCTACTAGAAATTCCTTGGGGTTCTATTCGGATCCTATCCAGCACACTTGACCTAAAATAGAGTTTGGAAAAGATGCTTTCGATTGGGTTTAGATCAACAAAGTAACGCCTTAGAACATTTGGACCCAGTTAGTCAGCTAGATTTGGTCTGGATAGATCTACCCTGTGTGGTTCAGATAGGTTATCACCTTTAGAGCCAGATCGCCCTTACTTGGGGTATATCATCAATCGGGTGAAGTAGGGAATCTATCACATGAGTTTTTTTAATAGGGAATATTGCAAAAGGATGTTACTACTCGGACCCTAATTACAGCAATATACTTAGTATAACTTGGATCAGATTTCCCCTCAAAAATATTAGTCCTACTTTATCGTAGAGAATGTTGAAAATGGTAATTTATGTGAAAGGCTGGTATGCCCACTGATTTATTTGCCTAATATTCTAATGAAAGTATAAGAAATGGTATCGATTTAAAGAAAATTCGTTTCTCACAATCGGTTGTTTTACTTTCAAAATACGGCGTCACTGTCGACGTCTCACGCAAAGGGACGTGCCGCATAACATTAAAGACGTTCACAGCAGCCGAGCGGTCATCGGTGCGGCGTTAGATAAGAAAGTTATTAAATTATTGATATGTAAAGAGAAGCGAAAGAAAGAAAAAGAGAGGTTACCTTGATTGAATCGCAGCGGTAGTCTTTTGTCCGGTCGGAGCTCAAATTAAATTTTATAGCGTGGCGCCCCCACTGTGCCCTATCACGACGCTCGTCTTGTTCTTGATACCTTTTAGTGTTTTTATCGGCACATCTCGACACCGTGGACCCAAATTTCTCCACGATATCTATACCTCATGGCGAGACAGAAATCACATCGCCCTCCAGATACATCACTAATGCCTTACCGCCTCATGACTGGCCTGACCGACAACTATCGTTATGGGGGTCTATTACTCACTAGATGTATAATATAATATAAAACTGTTTACATCTACAAATGGCATGCTTACTTTTATTGTTATTACTCTGGAGCAAGAAACCACAAAAAAATATACTTAAGGCCTTATAAAAAAATCTTGTCCAAATGTATTAGGTACTTAAGTGGATGGAGGTATTTTTACCGGCTAAATACATATTCTTATAATTATTTTAAAGGAAGTTACTGATTCTGAATGTCAACGTTATGCGTTATTTATTTAAGGGAACACAAGTTTTTTATGAAATTCTTCAGTTAACTTTCTATATTGAACGGTTTTGTGAAAATTTGTTGGCGTTTTCATGATGACTAATTTCATTTCAATGTTTAAACGTACTTGGTTCTTTTGTTGGGATTGGGATGTTTAAATACAAATTGTGTGACAATCCATATAACAATTTTTGGAAGGGACAGCTATGGTTCCAACTAGACAAGCCTCACTTTCCCGTGTAAGGCTTCTGCCTAAGGCGCAGAAGGGCGTATTATGCATGTGGTCCTCCGGAAGGAAAAAGGTTGTTACCTGATTTAGGGAAATTTTGCAAATGTATAACTCCTAGCTTGTCTAAGATAAATTCCTATAGGTACTTCATATTTGCAGAGGCGGATTAAATGTCGAGAGCGCTCTAGACTAGCACCTCATAGGCGCCCCTCTGGCGGTCATATATTTTGCAAAATACTTTTTTTTAATAGGTACTTTATTATTTTTTTCCGCGCGCGCCCCTTTTTAACCTTGCGCCCCTAGGCATATGCCTACTTTGCCTTATGGATAATCCGCCACTGCATATTTGCCTAATCTAGTCCCTGTAATACGGGTGGTAGGATTGTCCATTCCTTTGTAAGGAATGTGTTACTTCAGTATAACTAATTTTCTTTATAGGGGCCTTCATGAGGAATATATCCCTCTTCCTTAGGCAATGAGGTCCGCATCACGTTACATGAAACATTTTGTCAAATAGTATAGTTTAATAAATCTCATAATTTTATTTTAAAAAATGTCGTATATGCAATTTCTTCAAATATCTCCTGTGTATCTATATTTACCTTTAAGTCGTCGAGTGAGTATAACGAAAAGAAGCCCTGAGAATCTCCTAATAATTTCTGTATTTAGTTTTTAAAATTCTGGGATTTCATATCGTTGCTATAAAGAAACTGTTGATTGTAGAGGCTGTCAAATATTTCAAGTCCCTTTTTTATTTTTCAGGTGATACGCTGGACAAACTTCCCCATCCACTTGAATATGAAAAGGAATCAGAGGTATTACGGAAAGGTTAGTAACTAACATTTAGTAGTAACTTTCCTTCGTTCTCGAACTGTTTGATGCAGAACAAGGGAGCGATGAGTAAACAGAAAGAATTTATCAATGGAAAATCAAGTAAACTTTATATTTTTATTACATATGTATCTATACGTTAGGTAATGATTATAGATATAATTCTTCCGCGATGTCGTGTTCCTAAATATTTGTTTATAATGGCACATCATTTAAAACCATTATTTTAATTCAAAATAATGTTAAGAGATCTCTTTTTTTTAATTAGAGAAGATAATAAATTAAATTAGTTTTCGGATATGTACGAATTGTGACATTCATTTGAGACTGTAAAAATTGTGATATATTCGAACTGACATAACAATATTCTTCTTAAGGTTTCCACTGTGGTCATTTATTTTAAAAATAAGCGTTTGACGGATATTTTATGAGACTGGACGTGCACGCACAATATACTTTGTACTTATTATAACCAGGTATGCCGTATTGTAACGGTCAGTCTCAGAGCCCTGGCATAAATTTGAATTTTTTTATTTTCAAGTGGCTTTATCGAAGCTGATTTATCTGACGCCTTCTGTTAAATTATACATGCTATTACAGAACTTATTACAGGCGATTATATTCATGCCCGACCTTGGAAAGATAAAACGCGATCTTATTTATATTAATTTGCATTTATAAATATTCCTGCGATTGATGTTATCGTATTCTGATTACTGAATTGTTTTACTTTTTACCCGCTTATCTTTCTAATTTATCGAACAACGTGCTTTTTCCTTGAGAATTTTAATGTTGGTTCTACCCGTTTGTTACGTATATACATGTACTGGCAACAATGTATACATACGTTTATCAGAATGCATATAATTGACCGTTTGTTTTCCTCAAGAAATTGCAACTATTAATTTTCTCATACTTACCTGCCCTTATACATATACACTTTGCTACAACTTATTAACTATTGTATTTTAACCTGTACCGTTGTCATCATCATCGTAAGGTCGTCAGTCCTAAGACTGTTTGGACACGCACCTTCACCCTGTCCTATCCTGAGCTAATCTTCGCATTTCCCTAAAACTATCTTGGAACATTCCACATCCTTAACTATTTGTGAACAGTAATCTAATCTAAGTTTACCTCTACTCTTAATTCATGTTTATGCTTCTAATACTTCATGTCTGGCTTGGGAAAATGTTCTACCAGCCTATGACACTTATTTCGAATTGATTTCCCTAGCGCCCTCTATTCTCCTACTCTTTCTAATATCTCCTCATTTCTATCCTTCTCTATCCACGATATCCTCATCATTCGCCTGTAACACCACATTTCGAACCGCGCTCCAGGAATTAACCTTTAACAATCTTTTTTTTGAATTTCTCAATTAACCGCTACCGTACATGGAAGTGATTTCTTTTTGTTAAAGGCGATTTGCCTCTACGTTTTATATATCTGGTACTCTATTCATCCTGAGTTATCTAACATCTTCTAGATACGAAAAATCAATCACTTCTTCTAATTTGTCGTCTCTTATCTTTATTTTTACTTTTTTCCTGCTTTATCTTCTCTTTTTGTTTTACCGCCATGTATTATAAAAACTTTCAATAAATGAGGGAAACTGTTGCCGGGTTTCGCCTGGTTAATATATTTGATTAGTCAAAAAGAATAGGAAATAATATTTATGCATTTTTTTAAGTATCTTTGTTTAGATTTTTCAAGATGTTTTGTTGCAGGATTAAATAAGTAAAACTATCACACTTTTTTTTCTGTTCCGATATCAAGATTAATTTCGTTGGGAACTGCGGCATGGCACGTTGTAGCTTCTGACCTGAAATTGTTTGACGTTGTAGAAAGATAAAGAGTCACCTTACAGTTCATTTGGCATCATTTTTGACATATTCTGAACATCAACCTGGACTCGCTATCTTTCCGTGCTGCAGGCGTTTTGATTTTCAATCAATTTCACCTTTTAACTTCTTCTTGTTCTTCGTCTTCGTCTCTTTAGCAGTATTGCAAAATCGTTGATTTCCTTATAGAAGCGATCATGGGTGTTACCCATCGCCAAACATTTTATTTTCTGCCTTGGTTTAGGGGGTAGCAGATGGCTATCAGTGCCATATTAGTAATCAACATTGGGGACAGAATAGAGAATTTGGTGTTAATGTTTATGTCAAAACAATTTTAATTAGAAACCTAAGAATACGTAGAATATTTGAAGCGCTTTGCTTATTATACAGTGTGTCCATGATGAAACTTTCTTTAATTAACAACATCCTGTGATGTGTATATTATTTGGGCTAGATAAAATCACTATATCAACCAATTCTTTGTAACGAAATAATACACCAAATTTGTATGCGGAATGTACTAAAGAATTGCCTGAAGAAAAGAGACAGCTAGTGTGTCTATTTTATATTCTGAATAATTAAAACAAAAGAAAATATTTGGCCCTTTAGTTCTTTTTGCATTATAAACTGTATATCATCATCACAAAGTTGCCAGTCGGACAAATGCCTGGACACACTTCCTCACTGTCTTATCCTGGTCCAATCTTTTAATTTTCCGGAAACTAGACCACCCCACATTTCAAATCACATATTTGCCAGCGGCTGTCTCATGTAGGTCTTCCTTCTGCGTTTCTTTACTCATTGTCAGTCTATTTCTGCTTCTAATACGTCTTTAACTAGTCCATCGTTTTAGAAGGTGTCCCACCATCCTGTCTTTTCACTTATTGATGGTACTCTACGTTTTCCTTTTATGGTATTCTTTACATCTATCTAGGAAGATAAACTACTGTTCGTTTCAAGAAGTTAGAGATATGCCCCTTCCCTTTATTAGGATGCGCCGTAGCATAATTCCAAATTCAATTATATTTGTCTGCGGAGCTCATTTCTCCACCGATCATCGAGGGAGAACTAGACAAAAGTGTAGACTACCATATGCAAAATTATTTAAACTGCCTCGTTAAAATTTAAGAATATGCTTTATTTAAAGGCATATTTAGCCGAAAAAAATAATAACAAGTAAATTAACTTAACGTTCTACACACCTATAAAACATTTTCGTCTAGTACTATACAGTTCTAGCCGATCCCATCGAGAGCTCTGCTCGTTCAAGCTTGTTCCAATTTCTGTCTTGCTCTCGCCTAGTGTGTATTCTTTCTATCTTCGCGCAGATTTCTTCAAGGTCACAATTCTAACGAATTGAAATGGACAGTATTTAATTAACTGGTTACTGTTTGTTGTACATTTGGGGTTGTTGTTTTTTCCCTAGCCCTAATACATTCTAATTATTCTCAAAAAAGCTCGATTAATTCTAGGTGTGATATTTTAATGTTTCCTTTTTTACATAACTATACGTATACGTATCCGTCATTGTTCCATATAGGGCTTTTGGAAGAAGCTTGAATGGACTCGCAGGTCTCTTATCTTTGTCGACAGGGGTGTTTGGAAGTTGTGCGCTGGATGGGTGGGTGTGGGTGGTTGGTTGGTTGGTTGGATAGCTGGTGTGTAGCCTCTGTCGTAGTGATATCGGGCGACAGGTAATGGTGTGCAAATGGGCGATATGCACGTCGCGGCCGGAGAAGGGATGCATTAGCTTTAAGGACGACACACATAGATAGACACACTAATACTGTTACGTATACACGTTCACTTTACGGCCCTTCCGACGCCCGAAGCCCGGAGCTTTTGCGTCTACCGCGACGTGGACGTGATCCAGCGCGGCGTTGTCAAACTTGCGAAAGTTTTATTAAATTACTGAAGCTCCCGGTGAACGGACGATTAATTTATTAATATGAAATTGGAATCAAGTAAATACTTGTAAACCACGTAAAAATTAGAAAATACCACAAATGGCGCACTACTAGTCGTACTACAGATGGCGTTTACTGCGCCATTTCTGGTATTTTTTAAAACGCGCTGTTAAGGCAGCTGGTAAAAGTTGGTCTGTGTTCTGTCGGAGTTGTCTGCGACGCGCTGATGAGATCCAAAAAGATTGAAATCGCGATCCGCGTCTGGCAGTTTCGATAGAATACAGACCACTTCGAATTATTTTATTCCACGTAAAAATTACTTGAATTTATCGAAGGATTGTCATCATTATAGTACTGGCAAAGTGTGAGAATGGACGTATCTTCTTTTTTGTATCCATTTGGGACTGTAGTCGTTTTCTGCGTTTTGAATACGCCCTGGTAAAGTTAGGAAATACTTCATGAATAATATAAGAACAACGACTTTCACGGCCGGAATCCATGGTAGAATGAAGATTGGGGCTATAGGGCCATGGTCTAAGTGAACTATTCTGCCCAGACGTTTCGTCAGCTACTGCGGCTGACGTCTTCAGTAGTAGACTGAGTCGCTCTCGAGACTTCGAGATATAATCTGCGTTCGCGTTGTCAACGCAGCACTACCACTGAGGATGTCAGCCGCAGTAGCTGACGAAACGTCTGGACGGAATAGTTCACTTAGACCACGGTCCTATAGCCCGAATCTTCATTCTACTTCATGAATAGTACAAAGTGAAAAGGGATAAACGAATAATATTAAGCAATGCAGTGATTAGGGGTTGTTTAGGTACGCAAAAGATCATATCTTGAACTTTCTGTAAAGTCCGATGCTGGCAACATACTCAAATTCTTCTTGTCTGCGTCTCTTTCTGTTACACATTAAGGTGTAATGTTATTCCTATTTCTTTATTAGTGTCCGTTGCAATTCCTACCTGACATCCTTTTCTATCTTTACGATATTCCTTACAACGTCTGTCGTGAGTAAAAGTAAGCGTTCTGTAAGTAACAGCTCTAGTCTAGTTAGTAAATTGAAAGACGAAAGTAAATGCCACAATTTTATAGCGGATTATGCCAATTTTATTTTATAGTAGGTATTTATTATATTTTAATGAAAGTAAGGGCTTAAAATATTTGGCAACGGTGGTATTCTCGGACGATAGTAAACCGACGGCACGGTGCCGGTAGTGGCTTTGATATGATAGGAATCGGTCGC